GTCTTTCATTTCTTCCCTGGCTGTCTTTTTAAAACTCTAACGTCTGATAACTAGCCAGGAGGTAATTAGGAAGTAGTGCTAAAGAATCACAGGCTTATTCTCTTACTCATTCATAGAAATTTATTAAGCGTCTACAATAAGATATGGTTCCTCCAGCCAGTGGGAAAGACAGTGATGGCAGCTAATTACAGTACTAAGGAACTCTGGTCTGAACCAACACAGGAAGCCCCCTACATGCACACATAAATATTAGATAAAGCAATTTGAAACCACAGCTGCATTTGAAAGAATGGAGTGAATCCAAATTCCAAATATGAGTGGGAATCCAGAATGAGTGTGGTATGTGAGAAGTGGAAGGGAATTAAAGCAGAAATGTGTCACTAAGGCTGGACTTTATAATTAAGCAGAGACAGATAGGCTACCCACAACCTCACAGGTAGCAGGGTCTAGAAATGGGTCTGTCCATATGTCTGGATACCTGGAAGGACAAAGCAAGCCCCACCCATCAATTGGGTGAATGGTAATGGCAGGGAAACAGGATTAAAACTATCTCTTTTTTAAAAAGTCCATCAATAAATTATCAATATCTAAGATTGTGCCAGGCAGAGACTTGGGGTCCAAATTCTCATCTCTTATAATGTGAAAATCATCAACAGATAAATCAATGCATAAATAGGCTCAAAATCAAAGCAATCCAATGAGATTCCAGCAGAGGTAAGCTGAAACCTCCTCTGAGGTATACTTCCACAAACAGAGTATCTAGGATGCCCAAGGAAAAACTCTCACTGAAGATGAACTCACAGGGGGGATATCACAAACACAAAAGGAAACAGCCTGCCAGAAAAGACTCAAATTCAATGTGAAACCAAGCTCCACCATGCATACAGAGCCCTGATTTCCCTAACAACTCCTTCCCACTCATTCAACATCATCCTGCTCCCAACTCTAATTTAGACACCAGAGCGTCTGAAGATCTGTGTCTCTATTTTTCCAGTTCATGAGAATATATAGTTGTCCTTCAGTGGGAGGTGGGTTCTAATACCTCTTCCTCATGGATCCCTAACTCTATGGCTGTTCAAGTTCCTCTTCTAAAGTGGCATCATGTTTGCATATCTTTTAATATATGTGCATATGTATGTATGTAATGTGTCTAAGGTGTGTATGTGTGTATAGTGGGTTTACACATGTAGGTGTGTGCACACTGCTTGTGCAGAGGCCAGAAGAGGATATTGGGTATCCTGCTCTAACACTCTCTGACTTACTCATTTGAGAAGTGGCCTCTCACCCAACCTAAAACCATGAGGGTGGGGCAGCAAGCTCTAGTGATCTGCCTGTCTCTATCTCTCTCCCCCCAAGGCTTTGGAGTTACAGGTGCACATAACTATGTGTGGCTTTCTACATCAGTTCTGGGAGTTTGAACTCGAGTCCCCAGGCTGCACAGCAAGCACTCTTACTGGCTCAGTCATCTCCCCAGTGCCATATTTTCATGTAATTAAGAACATCTTCCTGTATACTTTAAATCAATTCTACATTAGTTAAAAGACCTAGTGTAATGTAAATGGTATGCAAGTGGTTTTCATATTGTATAGTTTAAGAAATAATGATAAGAAAAAGGCTTGTACATGTTCAATACAGACGCAGTTTTTCTTGTATATTTTTAGTCTGTGGTTAGTCGGATCCACAGATGCAGGACCGGTGGATATGGAAGGCTGACTATATACATACACACTCACATATAACATATATACATTGTTTACTAATATGCACAGTCCACAAATACATTCTGAAAGAAGCTCATGTTCTTCCATCAGCCAGATGTGGCCCTGAAAGGGGGGGGGGTTCTTGATGTGCCCTCATCTGAGAGTGTGGTAAGATGGTTCTAGGAAAATGGTTTCCCAAACACAATTTGGAGCCTGAATCTTGAGAGACCTCAAGATTCTTAGGGGGGTCTTCTGTGTTCCCATAGGAAGATATCATTTGACAAACTTTCAGGCACCCCTACAGATGACCTAGTTAAATGAGCTATTACAAGCTACTTAAGTCGGGCATTCAAACTCAATGATCAGTATCCACACAAGGGCTTGATGGGAGGCAAGGCATGGCCATACCCACTCTACTGTGCATGTGTAGATGCCATGGCCATCCTTGGGATATCAGCATTGTTTTGAATTGGTGGAGGTTCACCATTGATGTCTGGTTTGCTTTTCAATCACAAATCACTCTTGCTTTGGCTGCATCACTGTTGGAATGACTCCTATTTGCATCATCAAGGCTTAACCTCTATTTTCCACTAAGGAGGCCTTAAGGGAGCAAGCAGTTCACATGAGAGCCATCTGTATCTCCATTAGCAGGTCACCCTCCATTCCTTTTAACATCTTCATTGTCATCTCCATCTACTTGTCATCAGTAAGAGGGAGTTCAGTGGAGAGCTATGTGCTAGTTCTTCTGCCATGTGGACAGAGGTTGAGTATTTGTCCCACTAGGGAACAGGCCTCCACTCTTCTCCAAAAATCCTTTGGGTATTAGAGACCTAAGGCCACCTGTACACTGGGGTTGTGTAGCGGTAGTCACATGTAGCTAAAATCACTTCATCCTGATCAAGGAATGGTTTGTCAAACATCTACTTAGGAAAACATGCACTGAGTGCTTGATGCGACTATCCCAGGCTTGTGGCTAAAGGCAGGTAAGAGATGCCTTTCTTGCCACCAGAGAACTCAAAGACAGGCACATACAGAGGTGACAAGTAGGCAGAGGATAGCACCAGGCTCTCCCTCAGTTATTCTAGCGCAATGCCTGCTTCTTCTACTTAGGTGACAGGTTACAGATTAATGTTCCTTCTATCTTCTCTGAAAAGCGTCTTCAAGCTGCAGACACGTAGCTAAGGACCCTCAACATGGCTTCCAGTCCTTTGCCCAGTGTGGAGTGAAATGACCCAAGCGAAAGAGCCAAGTTCTACCTAGAACAGGCGATAGGATTACACATACACAAATATAACCACCAGAAGAGATTCTGGGTTTAGACATGTCGACCCTTGACTTTCCAAGACTATAGCAGTCTGTAGTAGCAGATTTTATGAGCAGCTTAGACAACCCCCTGTCACTGAAGGGCTTTCTGAATGAAGGAGGAGGGACACCTGCTTAGAATCTAATAGTCACCGGATTCCAATGGCTTCCCTGATTTCCTCTTGATCTTCACTCTTCTGAGTGCCTGCCCCTTGAGCATAGACTGCACAGGGCAACCACTTATGTCAAATTCATCATGGCACAAGTGATAGAAGGAGACTTGCATGATTTAGTTTCAAAGAGCCAGGACTCCTGTCTTGCTGGTGCTTTTGTCTCCTCGATTGGTTTGCTATGAAGTGTGCTACTGTGCTGGAAAGAGACCTGCACAGCAAGAACCGAGGGAGGCCTCTAAGCAGCAGCCCCCATCCAAGAGGCACTGAGTGAACCTGGAACAGACCCAGGCCTATGGAGCCAGTGCCTCCATCTTAGCCTGTGTGAGTGAACACGATAACCACTACAAAATAGAAATCACCTTATCACAGCCTTGTAAGACCCCAGGAAGAGAAGGCCTAGATTCCAGACCATGCAAGCTGTGAGACAGCAATATGTGCTGCTTAAAGTTACTAAGTTTGGGAGTCACTTGCTACAGAGAAATAGGTAGCAAAGATAGTTACTAAAAAGCATGTGGTGGACTTCCCTTAGCAGGGCATGAATGGCCATATCTGACAAACTTTTATAGAACATGGTTTGCTTATTCTCTTAAGACCTAGTCGTTAAGAATGGGCAGACACAGGGCTGGAGAGATGGCTCAGTAGTTAAGAGCACCGACTGCTCTTGCAGAGGACCTGGGTTCAATCCCTAGCACCTACACGGTGGCTACAAACCATCTTTAACTCCAGTTCCAGAGGAATCCGAAGCCCTCTTCTGACTTCTGTGGCATTGCACACATGGGTGCACTCACACACATGCAGACAATACACTTGTACACATAAAAATCATAAACAAAAAAAAGAATGGGTAGACACTGTAAGCAACCCCAAACACACCGATAAATGGGGTTTATTACTGTAAGAATCACCTATTCTAATGATCATAGGCTTTATGGCTTCAGAGACTCTATGACAGTGTTTTAAACAAGTAGGGACATCAGAATTAGCCAAAGAGACAGAACTCCATGCCAGAGCTACCAATTTCGGGTCTGGACATGAACGTAGAGCCTCTTGATGAAGCAGAAGTGTACCAGTCACCACTACTCATCTGGTCTCATCATGTGACATAATAGGAAATGGTAGACCAAAGTGTGTGTGTGTGTGTGTAGGCTGGATGTCAATCTTAGGTATTGTTCCTCAGGTAATGTTCACCTTGGTTTTCTACTTTTTCAGACAGGGTCTCTCACTAGCCTGGAGCTTACCTAGTAGGCTTGGCTAGCTGGCTTAGGAGCCCCAGGGAGCCACCTGTGTCCCCACTCTGCAGCACTGGGATTAGAAGCATGTACCACCACTATACCCAGCATTTTAAATGTGGGGTCTAGGGGTGAAACTCGGGTCCTCGTGCCTGCAAGGTAGGTACTTTACCAACTGAATCCAAATTTTCAGCCTTGAAGTGTCTTTTGTAGAAACTGCATTTGTGTGTGTGTGTGTGTGTGTGTGTGTGTGTGCTTGTGTGTGCACACATGCATGTGCTCATGCCATTGTGCGTATGTGGAAGTCAGAGAACAACTTGTGAAAGTCAGTTCTCTCCTTCCACCATGGGGGTCAAGGATCAAACTGAGGTCATCAGTCTTGGGGGCAAGTGCCTGTATCCTCTCAGCCATCTCCCTGGCCCCCTGAAGAATCTTTACGATCACACATTTAGTTGGTGGCAGCCTAGGATAAGGGCACAAGTCCATCTCCCTGTCTTCCCCATTTGCTTTGCCACAAGATTCCCCACCCTCCCACATTCAGTGAGGAGCTCAGTATAGTGTTGAGTTAGTCAAAGAAGCAGCATGAGTTACCAAAGGACAACTTCTAAAGTTAACTTTATTTGTTCTGAAAATCACCTTCATTCTGCATCTCTCTATTTAGTCCTGAATGGGACTAGGAGAGCTTTTCTCTCTGGCATCCACAGGGTACCTTTTATAAAAAAGGGAACAACAAACACTTCCCATTGGATCTCTCTCTCTAGGTCTCTGTCAGCAGACCTGGCCAGAACTGGAACTTCACAGCTTTGCAAACATGTAGGTCAGTCGCAGAGCCCTGCTTGCGACTTTTGCTTCCATCCCTCCCTGAGACAGTTGCTCCTGTCCTGGGGTTCTCAGCTTCACCTCCAGTTCAGGGCAAGTTGTGCGGTCATGGGCTGTTGATAGCCGGGGTTCCAGTTTGTTTTGGTCCGGGGAAGCAGCATCCCTGGCCCACAGCTGGATCGAGACAGGATCCTCAGGAACTCACAATGTCCCAGTGCTGGCTCATGAGTGATGACTCACACGGGTTGACAACAACTTCTTTGCCATCCTCAGTGCTCTCACCGAACATGTCTGTGTCTAGGCAGAGGTGCGATGCTATATGCTCAATGCGGGCTCCAGTCTTGGTCCATTGCTAAGAAGACAGAAAGGAGAGAGGATGAGCTGGGCTTTGCTGGCTAACCCCCAGGGTCCTATGGATAATGTGAGGAGAACAGGCGTCATCAGAAAGAGTGATACCACATGTCTAGGGTCACCAGAGACTTGACTTCAGATCTCATGAAAGAAAAAAGATCTCCACTCCACTGATTGCTTTGATATGTATTAGGGTTTAAAATGTTTTATTACGTTTTATTTACTTGTGTGTGTTCATGTTTGTGCATGCATGCCTGTGCGTGTGTGCATGCGTACATGTATGTGTGTGTGTGTGTGTGTGTGTGTGTGTGTGTGTGGTGTCTGCCACAGAGCATGTGTGGCAGTCGGAGGACAACCTGAAGGAGTTGGTTTTCTCTTTCCACCATGTGGATCCACGGGCTCAAACTCGGGTTGTCAGGCTTGGTGGCAATAGCCTTTACCTGCTGAGTCATCTTTCTAACTCTAGCTTTTTATATTTGTTTTAAAATTGGCTAAGAAAGATAAAGGCTAAATCAATAGGTTTGCTAGGAGGACTCAACAGAAGGCAATAACTTTCCAAACAATAGGACAGAAAATGTGAGCTGCATTAGTCACAGGAGCAAAGAAATGACCCACACTTGATGTCTGCCTTTATGGAGAAATTGGGTAAGGAGAGGGTGAGGCAGTGAGGGTGACAGCAGGGGCTTCTTCAAATGAGTCAGCACCTGAGGGCCCACAGAGAGGGAGATCTCAAGCATTGTTTCTTGACTCCCCTATGTGTGATGAGGATACTCTGACTAGGTACAGAGCTCTGTACTTCATAGATACCATCCTCGATAATTGCTTTTTATAGGTACTTTGGGTTACATCAGCTCTCAGAGAAGAGGAAAGGGAAGTTTAGGGATGTCTAGTAACCTGCCATGTTTTACAAAGCCAAGATGCTATGAATGAGCATTTGAACCTCAGCCTCTTACATTATGTGCAACTGAGATGTCAGAGGAGCATGGCATATTTGGGACATCGTGAACTTTGGGTGACACATAGTCAGAGTCCAGGGCTCTGAAGGCAAAGGGTTGAGTCATGCTTATACCTGTGGCTCTGATCGTTGTCTGGGATCAGGTGGATGATGAAGCAGGGGAAGCAGAGAACAAGCTCAGTGGGCCTGGAGAGTCAGCTAAAGTCCATAAGCTTTCAGGTATGAGCTGACCAGTGAGGTCAATGCAGCCATTACTACTGGGTGTCTCAATCTCAACTCCTGACTATAAGGGTTTCTTTCTTATTAATCCTTCCTCTTCCAATACCACCTTTATTTTCTTACCTATGAGACTTATACTTACCCAGTCACATCACGAAAGGTGAGCACTCCCAATCCTCCCCCACCCTGGGGCCTGATGAGCACTCACCTGTCTCTCATCTCCATTCTTACACAGAACAAGAACCACCGGGGCACCTGGGAACAGGGTGATGACAGACAGGCACAGCTCCTCCTGAATGATCTGCTGGGTATATGTGAAGGCCCATACCTGCGGAGACCAGGAAGATTCTCTCAGGAGCGGGGAAGCCACCAACCACTGGGTACCGTCATGCCTATATGTGATGGCTTGTATAGCTGGGTAAGTAGTGTTGGGGGTCCCAGCAAGTATTAGTCATCACCATGGTCACCTAATGGAATACTACTCAAGAGACAGAGGCTAGGAGTTAACACTGTCATGAAGTCTCTGTCCCCACACTTTATGATGAGGCCTGGGCCCTGGCCATGCAGATGGATGCTGGAATTTGCTCGGGCTCTGGGAGGCATCCAAGGGCACATCCAGCTGTGTTCTGTGGTTCCCAGCGTCTGTGTGGAGATGTTTCCCTAGGAGTCTGTTCCTCCCATTTGATACTTGCTGCAGCCACCTGGTAGACCACTCCCCCATCCCTTAGCTGTCTTTAGAATGTCTCCTCTTCTTTGAAGGATTCCGAAGAATCTTGAACATGAAAGCTAGGACAAGAGGCAGATGGAGGGGTAAGGTGAATGAGGAAGCACTCAAGAGAGGAAACGGAAGGAGGGAAAGAAGAAACTTGCGAGAAATAATTATTTTAGGAGAGTATGCACATCCTAACATGCCAGCATAGCAGACAGTTTGGCCCCTGAACTCCTTCAGGGGAAGAAGTAGGGAAGCCAGCTCAGCAAGCAGAATTCTGACAGGAGAGGAAACGGGGCATTCTGTTAGGCTATTAGAAGAAGTGCCAGAGAGCTTAGTGAGGCCAAGAACTCTCCAGTTCTTAAAGGGGGACAGCAAGCACTGGCATGATGGCTGTCCAAATGAACCATAAAGAAGTTTTCTCTCAGGTTGTAAAACAGATGATGCCGGTCCTTTTCCTTCATCACAGGGTAAGGATGATTCTTGACTGGAGTCCCCAAGGGGAGCTTCAGAGGGGACCCCATCAAGGGCTATATCTTTTCTCTATTAAGTCCCTGCATACTAAGGGCCCACTGCCTTTGAACCAGGTCACTTATGGGCTGCTTCTCCTTGGCCTATGGTTGCTGAGAGCAGACAGTTCCCAGCTATGGAGCCAAGTGCCTTTTATGTGATTCCCCCACCTCTTACTCTGTACCTTGCCTACCTGCCTCCTGGTCCTGGTCCTCCTCCCCTGACTTCCATGCTCTTCTGACTATCCCCAATGTCTTTCTGAGACCCAGCTTGCTCCTGATGCTTTCCTACAAGCTCAGGTTCTTCTGCTGTTCTGACAGCACAACTGTCTTTACCTTGCTGGATGGTGACCACTGCTTCCCCTGATCTAGAACCTTCTCCTACCTCCTCATTTGGGGACAGGGCCACCAGCTCAATGGGAGCCACTGTTCTCTAAGCACTTGCCTGAGGATTTTGTTTTTCTGAGACAGTGTCTCACTGAACTTGTATCAATCCTCCTGCCTCAGCCTCCCAAGATGTGGAATTACAGGTGTGAGCCACCATGCCCAACTCTGCCTGAGAATTCTTTTGTCCCTTTTCAAACTGCTGATGTAGGGAGAAGAACTAAAGTAGAAGTATTCCCTAGGGAATGGATAGATAGCTACAAGATGGAACAAGACTATCTGAGCTGGCTGATGATCCTTATAGCCTGGTGATGGCTACACAGACTTTTTCCCACGACTCCATGTACTTCTGTATCTATACAATTTAACTTCTCTATGATAAAAAGTCACAAAATGTTATGTTGAGACATGTCAAGAAGTTCTTCTCTGGCCTTATGAGCATCATTATTGTACATATGCCATTCTCCTTCCTCTAGGATGAGATCAGCTGAGAGGGGAAAGGAGTCTGTACATACAGAGGTCATATAATGACCCTGCTGTGGATAATAAAGGCTGACATTTATTGAGTACTTATGTGCCAGACACTGTTCTGAGAGCTTTATATCAACTTGACCAATTTAATCTGTGAAAGAATCCTATTGAGTAGATATTACTCTGACCGTCACTTCACAGATGATGGCATCAAGACTTGCAAGTTATCCCATGCCATCTGGTATTAGTGACCCCCCCGCCCCCACCAGCTCTCTGCAATAGGTCTCCTTTGGCCATGCTGGCTGAATAACAGCCGATTTCAGAGATCTTTTAGACAAGTTTGGTCATTGGAGAAGACACCAGTCCCTGAGGTCCTCTTCGAAGTTGTAAATTTTAAGACCATGGACCAGCTTTATATTGACAAGAGAGAGCAGGTAAGAGTCTTCACTGAGGCCAGTTTCCAATAATAACTCCCCCAAATGGTAAAGATTGTGCCCCATGTAAGGGTCTACAGAGGACAGACCAAAGAGTAGTGCCCCGCCTAACTTTTTTGGTGGGAGTACGAGGGTTGAGTTGGCCTAGAACTCGCTATGTAGATCAGGCTGGCCTCAATCGCACAGAAATCTGCTTGCCTTTGCCTCCTGAGTGCTGGGCCCTCTCTAACATTTATGGGAGTTGAAATAAGACTGTGAACACAAATTCATGCTCCATAGGTGTCATGCCAGGCCCTGGGACACACAGTGCTAGCGTCTAGGCTATCTGCTCCCTTCTATTCCCACCTCCAGTCTTGTGGTCATTCCCTCCTTTGGGTTTAGATGTGTGTATTGATGACATAATCCTCTTGAGAGGCCAAAATCAAGATAAGTCTACACAGGTCTTGAGATTGGGCCAGGGCACTGGGCTGGTGACTCTGGGACCCTAGGCACCAGGAATGTGATCTGTATTTGGGCCCTGAAAATTCCCAGTTTGTGAAGAGTAGAAAGAATGACCCAAGGGCCAGATCCAAGGGCAGAGTTGCAGGGAGCTATTTTCTGGGTCCATGAGACAACTGGCCTGAAATTTAGAATTTCACCCTCCTCTACAAATGAGGCTGAAATCAGTGATGGGGGGAAAGAAGAGCATGTCCCTCTCTTCAATTACTTGCTTTAAAACCCATGGTGAAACACAAACTAGAATTTCAATAATAAATCCTGTCATTATCGTATGATCACCATAATACATTAGTGTTGTACTTTGTGTGTGTTAAAAGCATTAATGCGTTCAACACAGCAACTTAAAAGTCACTGCAGTTCCTGAGAGACTATTTTGTTAGTCTCTTGTTTTTAGTATCCTAAGGGATGGGTTCTCCTGACGTCTATGATCCCCCCTCCCCATTTAGAAATGCCTTCCAGGAAAAGTGCACATAGACACACCAGAGCACACCTAGGCCTTAGGCCAGGGTCCCAGGAAGTCACCCCAGGGCTCCCAAGGGAAGCATGTAAACAGACACCATAAAAGTCCTTAAACAAAGGGACTGGCAACAAGGTTCAGAGGTTAAAAGTGCTTGCCTCTTTTACAGAGAATCAGAGTTCAATTCCAAGTGCCCACAGCAAGTGACTGACAACCACTTATAACTCCAGCTCCCAGGGATCCATGCATGTGTGTATATCTACATGCAGACACACACACACATACACATAAACCTTTTAAAAGTCCTTTTTTTTTTTTTTTTTTTGTCTTTTTGAGACAGGGTCTCCCTGCAGCCCCAGCTGGCCTAGAACTCACTACAGAGACCAGGCTGGCCTCGAACTCACGGAGATCCGCCTGCCTCTGCCTCCAGAGTGCTGGGACTAAAGACATGTGCCACTACGCCCAGCCTAAAGGTCCTTTTAAGAGTACTTTTTACTCACTGGGCTTTCCTAATATTTAATCTCCCAGAGGTTGGCTGACCTCTGGCTACATCTGTAAGAGGGAAGAAGAGAGACAGGAAGCAGAATCAGGAACAGGGGGCAGAGAAATAAGGCAAGGTGTTCCATGTCCTATTTTGTGTCTCTCAGGCTTCTCAGAAGAGCTGGCGATAAATCAGCTGATTAAATGAATCCTGAGTCAGACGTGAACCCTAAGAAGGCAGCAGGGGTACTCAGTCAGATCCATGCTCAATCGGCAAGTGCAGGGCCCTCTGCTGCTGGCTCCCCTCAGGGCCTGGCTAAGGAGTGCCCATGATAGATGTCCCACCCCATTCCCCAGTGCACCTATGCATGGGTATCCCCAGGGAAGGTAACCCAGAGGCTGATCTAGAGGCTCATGTGAGTAGATTTGGTCCCCTGTGGAGATAGATGGGTCAGCCAGGGAGCTGAGGAAGAAGGTTCACTCCTGGTCTTCCAACTTCTTTGCTAGTCCCTGAGAGTGGAGAAACTGACCACTGACTACTGCACCCAGAGAACATGCTTCCTGTTCCAGCTGGAACAGAGAGTGCTGAATGGCAGGGGTAGTACCCTGGGCTGCAGCTGGGAAAGCTGGCATGCAAATAGGCTTTAGGACTCAGATTTGGGACTTACTGACTTGAACTGTATGGAGAATCAGGGAGGAAAGATTTTTAAAGATGCAATAACAAGAAGAAGAAGCAGGAATGAGGATGATGCCAGGCAGAGGAATGGTCCAGGGCTCCATCCTCTACTAGACAGGAAACAGCCTGGAGCAAAGAGAGCTTGCTCCCACACCCACCAAGGAGACAGACATGTGGCAGTGTCTGGAGACATTTCTGGATTAAGACTGGGTGCTATGGGTATCTGGTGGGTGCAGCAGAGATGCTGGTAAACATCTGCCAAGGCACAGGACAGTCCCCACAACAAAGAATGATCTAGTCTTAATGATAATTGTGCCAAGGCTTGAGAAGCCCAGCCTAGTCTGCAGGGAGAAGGCCTACCTCTGAACCCTCTTCAGGATCATTCATGAATACCCTGGTTAGTCTCCCTGTGCCTGACTCACACCACCTGTCAAATGGGGACGATAACAGGACCTTGTTCATCGGAGGGGTTATTACAAGGACTAAACAAGATGATGCCTGCTGAGCAGTTGGCCCAGAGCTTGACCCTGGCTCAGAGCACATGCCCCACAAATGGTATATCCACATGGGAAGGAGTGTTGAGTGATATGAGGCCAACAGAAACTCATACAGGAAATTTAAGTGGATGGGTTTTTAGTAAGCAGGAGCTCATATCATTTACTGATGATGGTACATTCCATATTCAAGAACCCTGCTGGCGGGGGCGGGGCAGAATATTAAGCAGCTGGAGGTAAGAAAGTGAACACAAGGTAGCATTGCTGCTTTGGCTGAGGTTAGAGAGCCACAATAACTCCTATTAGAAAGAGAGTCTTTCAAGGGTCAGGCTGGTTCTTGCCATTTCACTTTCATGGTCTATTTAATCAGGTACGATTTCATAGAAGAGCAGGGACAGGGGATCAAAGAGGTCAGTGGACACTCTGAGTAATGCCAGGAGCAACTGTGGGGCTGGCCGTGCATATGAATTCTCCTCCTCGGAGAGATGGAATCTGAGCAGAGGGCATCTGGGTCACCAGGGCTCCATTTTGTAGGCTACACTAGAAAACTCACTAGTCTATGAGCATGCCCTTGAAGTGTTTCTTTTAGACTAGCATCTGGAGTGACCAAGCTAGATACAAAAGAACCTTTCATTCAGTATAAGAATCTCTAAAGGATCAGCCACAGGAATTGGCATCAACTGTTGACAACAGCCCAAATGTCTGACAGGCCATGCTGAGCTCTCTTCCTTGGTTCCATAGGCACAGATCCCACCATGGAGGGGCTCCTGGCCCAGAGCCAACAGAGTGACCTGGTAGGCTCCTAGACATACACTTTGATTGAGACCATCAATGGACTCAGGTTTGGGATCTTTGTCTTCTCCACCCATATCACCAGAATAATTTATACATGGGCTTAAAACTCCACACCTACTTTGTTTCTGTTGGGTCACAAGACTGGGCTCTAGAGTGACCACCACTCTACAGTGGTTAGGAATCCCTGCTCACTGGCTTACTAACCTTGTGAACTTGAGTGAATTACCTCTGTGACTAAGCACAACATGAAGACACTGCTAGTCCCTCCAGCAGAAGCCCACCAGACAGAGCACATGGGTTAATATATGCACGTGCCATTTTGCCATTGCTTGGTTAATGTCTCTGATGGTGACAGTAGTGACTTGGGGAAAGCCAACAGGACATGAGGGAGATACCCCTTTAGACTTTGCTTTGCAAAATGACTAGAGACGGGTTGGCATATCACAGCCATTCCCAGGCTGTGATGGGGAAATCTGGGAGAGGTAGGATGATGGACTGACAGTCTGTTCCACTGCAGATTTTGTATTTCTGCTATGGGGTTGTCAATGTGTATGCATATATGGGTGCTTCGATGCTCATCCTCTCCCAGGGCTTCCAGCTACAGCTTCCTACTCCACAAATCCAGAGCCCAAAGTGATGGGTATCCAGGGGGAAGAACACAGTGCAAATTGTCTTATGTTTCTCCCACTTTAAGTTGGAATAGAAACTGGATCAGGGCACCTGTCTTCTTTCTACTTTTCATAGATATTTTGCCAGAGAACCAATGAAGTTAAGAGGAAACTTGTTAGCCTGGAGACTCTCAGGCTTCAGAGGTTTAGAAATGCATGATGTATTTCTCTTGCATTACCCCAGGGTATCAGGTTGCCAACACCTTTGAAACACTTGACTTCAACATTTTGCTCCAAAAGATGACAAGCCAGTAAGAAGGAAGGTGAGGGAGGATGCGGGCTGGATGGGCTGGATGGAGCAGGGACGTGAGCCAGCGTCAGAACCAAGTAATAAAAAAATCTCTATGCAGAGATAGAGCATGATGCGAGATTGCTTACCTAGCACACACAAGGCCCTGAATTCAATTTCCAGCTCTACCAATTAAAGTAAACCAAAACAGAACAAGTTTCATTGCAGGGATGAGGATGCGCTAGTGTCTCGGTCTCACCTACCTGGTGAGTGGGTGGCAGCTGGAGACAGAATTCAGAGATCCTGGTCCCCACTTTCCATAACCCAGGGTCCTAGAACACTCTGAACAATGGGTCCAACCTGATCTTAAGACCTGTGTGGATCTCATACCTGGGTTTGTGATCCAAGGGTAGACTGTGCCCCTAGAATACAACCCTAAGCTTTCAGAGGGGAATGATTTTGCTTAGACAGAAAGTTGTGAGGCAGAAATGGGGAGAAACGGGGCACAGACACAGGTGGGAAGACACTGTTGCATGTGTCCTTGGAGCCTGGTGTGACATCCACGGAGCAGAGGCCCCCATTCACACTCTTGCCTCAATTCTCATAAATGGAAGGACGTTGTTTAATGACCTACGTACTCCAGGCCCAACCTTTGCCTTCTGTGGGAGTTGTCACTGGAAACTGATCAGAAAGAAGACCCTCTTGCCAGTTCTCTCCTGTCAAGGTGGTTTTAATATTTATAACTTCACAGAGGAATCTCACAGTCAGGTGCCTTCTCCCATGACTAACCTTGTCTAATAGAGCTCTGGAACCCGGCATGACTCAGCTGACATGAGCAATGGAGAGCTGTTTAGAAGAGCTGGTGTGGGGGCCACCACCAGTATATGACATTGGCTAACCTCTGCAAGCTTTGGCATCATTAGTCTCTGAGGTAGGGTAAGAGTAATACCTACTTCTACTCTGTCTGGCTCCTGCGTCATTTCCTTGATATGGCTTCTCAGTGACTGAAGAAGTGGGCGTAGGAAGGGAAAAGCCCCACTCTGCTGGTGATAGACCAAGAAACTCCTGTCCCAGAGAAGGGGGCAGACAACATTCTGTTTGCTGGGATTCCCATGAGGACCACCCACATGCAGATGAGAGAGAGAGAGAGAGAAAGAGAGAGGTGCCACCTACTCACAATACTTTACAAATGCCACATAAACAAATTGTGTCACTGTCAGCCAGGCAGTCATACCTAAAGTAAAATTGGAACCTCTATTTACCTTTCCTTTCTTGTCTAGTCTCATTCCTATGCCACCTCCCCTGTCCTTCTGGAAGCTCCTGGAAAAGTCATTGAAAGCCAGAGCTAGTCTGTGAATGTAGAGTTTGTAGTATGGATAAAAGGGAGTCACTGAAGGCTGTGTTAAGGTTGGGACAATGGTCTAGTGATCACACACAAAGTAGAGATGAGGGTCAGTAAATGGGGACAGGGCAGGAGGACTACCTAGAGATGGTGGCCATAATCTAAATGTCTCAATGGGGACATTTTTGACCCCTCTGGGTATTTGAAGAGTTATCCAGTTCCAAACATCAACAACAGAGTCATGGTTGAGAAATATAGACCTAGCAGAAAACCAAGTGTGGAATCTGAAAAGCGCTCTTCTGGGAGGAGGACATGGTGGGCTGCAGACATGTGGTGCTGCAGAAGGAACTGGAGTCAAGGCACTGGGTAGGATTGGTACCATGAAACCAGGGCAAAGGGTGATAGGTGCAGAGAAGTTTGCAATGAGAAGTGGCCTGGGTGTATAATGCATGCTTATGGCCATCTGTTGAGCTGAACCAGAGAGGAGTTTGACTCACTCAGTTTCTCAGTGTTAGAGATAGTCCTGATGAGAGTCCTACACTGTGGACTTTCTGTTCTTGGAGCCCTCTCCAGGGACCTTGCAGAGGTCTCATGCTTGAAGGTAAAACTCAGTTCCTTGGTGAGGGAAGGGACAGTGGTTCAGCTCCTGCTTCTCTCCAGCCTCAACATCCATCATGCCTTCACATTCTAATCTATGACCTCAGCCTCACTAAAGCCCACCCTCACGCTCGATGCCATGTCTCAGCATATGCTGCATTTCCTGAGTCACCTTCTCTTCCCTTCCTGACCTGGTCTGTTTTTTTACTTAGGTCTCAAAACACAGCCCATTTTCAAGTCCTCTGAGACAATTCCTGATTCCCCCACAAAAGTGCCATATCTCTGTGCCTCTATAGCACCAGGGACAGATGATGGACAGATGTGAGATCACAGTGGCTGCTCGCGCAATTCTTCCTGTAGCCCAGCCTTTCATCTCCACATCTTCAGTTAGACGAGTGAATGCATGATGCAAGAAGATGCACAATTGTGAATCAATAAACAGAGGAGATGGTCAAATCGGAAATGGGGATAAAATCTCCAAGAGTTTAGAGAGAAAAGAGCAGGGGCCTGAGAACCTTTGTGAATACCCGGCATGAGGACAGAGGGACCAGCTGCGTAACCAGACAGGAGGACAAGAATGTAGGGGAAGAGATATCCTGTAGGGCCACAGGGCTGGGAAGGGAGTCACACGACGACTGTGCTTGGCCAAGTGCTATAGAGACTGTGTCAAGTGGTAAACTTTTCACTGACCTTGAGACGTGCAGTCCTACCCTCAGAAGGGAGAACACTAGAAAAACATGGGGCTGGGGTAGGGTGTGCTCTACTGATGAGTCAAGTGAGGCACAAGGAAAGCGTTCCTGGACAGAGCCATGATACTCTATAGGCTTCAGGGGAAGCAGGAGAGACAGGAGGGTGGTCCCATGGGAGGGTGTACCCATGGATACAGCAGTGGATGGTGATGGCTTTACCAACTCTGATGAGATGGCCTGGGAGTCATCTGGGAGACTCATCAAGCAGGTGTTTTGTCTAGAGACAATGCTGCAGAAGCAAGTGCTTCTTCCCTTTGCAAGTCACATCTGCAAGGTAGCTGTGTGACCTGCCCCATCTGACCCAGCCAATGTTTACTGCCTGAAGGTAGGAAACTGATCGCAGTCTCCTCCAGCTCCTGGTAAATTATTGAACCATTTCCTATAGGAGCTACCACCTGTAAGCCATCTTTCAGAAGGATTCCATGTATTTGGAAACCAAATGGAGAAAACCCAGTGGTGGACTGAGAAGGGTCCTTTCCTGCTCTGTTCTGATCTCTAGATTCCTGATACCATGTCAGAACAGGGGACAAAGGCTAATCTAGATGCCTCTTCTCTGTAGCATGTGATGCAACAACTCTGTCTAGTTACTTTACCTGGGACTTTGTTTTTTCGTCTTTGACTTTGGCACAGGTGTTCAGCCTTAGATGTGGAATCTCTTGGTTTTTCTGCTTTTGAGACTCAAGGCACTTTTGCCTCTGCCGGATGTTGCCCTTCTGGATGGAGGAGTCTGAGGGGATCCTGGAGGAAAGCCACAAGGACAGATGAAAATCTACTGCTGATGGCGTCAGTACCTCTGGCAACTGGAGAGGTTGGGAGACAGGGGAAGAGCTGTCTGTCCCTGAGCTTCTCAGAGAAGGGAAGGATGCTACCAGAGTGATGCAGTAAGGGATCCTCAAAAGCTACATGGTGGATGGATCCCTGGGACGGAGCCAGTTTCACTAAACCTTTGCTCTTAGGACAACCCACAGTGCAAAGCCCAGCAATTGGAAAATTCTGCTACTAGCTATCCTCAGTCCCTCATGCTATGGGTTTGATGTAAGTCTTCTTCTTGTTTGAGGGATAAGCAGGACTAATTTGTCTAGTTGGTCCTTCATAGATGTAGAAACTCTCCTCTAGTTGGCTGCAGGTTATGTACTCCCTCGACTAGGCCAGCCAAGGGTCTCTCGGTGCAGTCGGCTATGGCTCCAGCAGGCAGGGGTACCTGAGTTCTGGGTAGACATTCTCCAGGTACCACTTGAAGCTCTGACAGTGCAGATTCTTCCTCAGGTTCAGCCTGTTCTCGATGCTGGGATGGCAAGGTTGCAGATAGGGCAGAGACAAAGCATAGCTATCAGAGACAGTACCTGCAACAATGGTTCCCCCCATCAGTGACCATGCTCTGTGCCCATGCATCTCTAGAAGGTGCTGAGGAAATGGACCAAGCAGAGACTTCTCTAGTTCCAGACAGACCTATGGAAACACCTAGCTGTATCTTCTGATGGTGTAACAATAACACCAAGGACTTCTGCTTTTACTTGAAAATGCACACTTGGAGGTGTTTTTCATTTTCATTAAAAGCAAAGCTGTAAGAACCCTGTGTTGTTAATACTTCACCACAAGGACTCTAGATCTACTTACTCGCGTCTTTCTTGGGATTCTGCAGTTGGACTACCCCTTCCCACTGCCCCAGCCTCAGAATCCTCTTCCCTGGCTGGTGCCGAGGTCTCATCATTCATTTGTTCATCAGCTATTCACTGAGCATCTCTATGCGATAAGCATTGTTCATTGTGGAATGTGAACACTTTGGAGCAGCAGTGCAAGTGCTTCAAGCACCACAGCCCATGTGGCCCTAGGACGGGGCGTGGAGGCACTTGGAGGTGCACGCTTGCTTGCTGGATCCATGGTGCTCAAGACAGCAAAGTCTATTGATACTGGGATGTGGAAGGAAGAGTGATCACTACCTATACAAACGAGAAGACAGATGAGGCATGGATCCTGCTAGAGGTGGGGCAGGTCAGAGAACAGAGAGACCAGGACTATGAACAAGTGCAAGAAGTTCTTCTGCAGAAGCAATACTGGCCACAGGACCCCAATTAAATGTGCAGGTGAATGAGGGAAGTGAGTGGGACGACAGCAAGGGCAGTCCGCAAAAGGCCATGTGAGGAGCTGCTAAGGGGCACAGACGCTCTGGGGTGCTGAGATGAACTCGGTGGGCCCTGTGCAGTATATGATATGGTGATGCTTTGAGAAGCTCTCACTGTTGTTTCTAGAATGGGCCAGATGGGGCAGAGGTGGGGATAGGGAGGGCAATTTGGAGGTAGCTGTGGAAGCCTGGGTGCCATTATACCCCTTTTTAGGGAATTGGGAGGGAATGGGCATGGTCAATCTGCTTCCCTCTGTCTTCACCTAAGGTCAAGTCACACCTTGTCCTCTGGACAGCTAATAATAAGTGGCTTTGCCTCCTGTCCTGGAGTCCAGCTTCACTTTTTCCCAACCCCTTCTCTCCACAGCCGCCAAGACTTCACCACAATTTTCTTCTTCTTTTTCTTCTTGCTTTCTTCCTCTTCCTCTTGTTCTTTGTGCTGGGAATCGAACCCAGGGCCTCACATACTCTAGGCAATTGTTATTCCACTGAGCTATACCCTCCACCTCAGAACTTCTTAGAGAGCACAAAGCATAAGTCACCAGACTTATGGCTCACCAGACTTCTCGGCTCCTCAGGGACAGGAAGGTCAAGCTTTTAATATGCTCAGTGTCAGTGTTCAGGAAGAGCCTGGCTGCTCAGTGCATGAACAAGGCAGCATCATCAGGAATGATGATCATTCAGACAAGGCAGAGAAGGGGAGTCAAGGGTGATACGCAGGCTTTTGACTTGGCTGATGGGGTATAAAGAAGACTATTCGTGTGGTTAGATTGGGGATATGTGGGATGAGGGCCAGATTCAGGAGCAAACTCCTGAAGGACTTGTATTAGAGATGTCTAGAAGGCATCCCAGAGTTGGTGGCCATTTGATAGTTGGGCATAAGAGACTAGAGGCCAGAGGAAAGGTCCTACTTAGAAACAGAGATGTGATTATGCATGGGATAGATGAGGCCACACTGGCAGAGAGAACGTATAGTAAAAAGGACTTATGACAGGTCTTGGAGCAAGATCAGCAGGTCAAGGGTATGAGCAATTGTGCTTGCAAATGGGACAGAAAAAGCAGAACTTAGGAGCAACAGAAATGAAGACTGCAGTGCTCTGGAGGCCCAGAGTCCAGAGGCATGCCAGAAGTGAAGGGGTGGGGGGAGATGCTGTTGAGGGGCAACAGAAGAGGAGAGTAAGGGGTGCAGGAGCCCAGGTTAAGCCCTGAGGGAACAGATTCAGGGGCCTGGGGGAGGCAACAAGGGTGGGCCACTGCTTCACGGTGCTGGGTCCTGGGCAGGCAGAAGAAGGCAAGCACACAGGTGATGAGCAATGCTGGACTGAAGGAGTGTTTTGCAGTTTAGTTTCTTTCTTCCCTCTCCCTTTAAGACAAGGAGTAAGTATAAACATGGAAGGGAAAAATGAAGCAGAGGAGAGGGAGGTTGTGGAGAGGAGTTACCTGGAGACAGGCATATGCCCCTAGCTGCACACTGCATATTCTACTAATCCTAAAGCCAAGAAAATCAGCCCTCTGAAGGAGGTACTTGGGCAGCAGGGGCTTTGAGGCTCCCCGGGTGACTCTACTATCAGGATAGTTTGGGAACTATCTTGTGGAACCTTGCTATCAAATTAGGGTCCTCAGCCAATAGCACAGCATCACCCATGAGCTTGTTAGAAACTCAGACCTTAGGAATCAGATTCCATGTTTTAACATGATCCCTAAGAAATCTGTGTACACATTAAAGTTTGAGAAGCCCTGCACCAGGGGGCAGGAGAAGATGAATTCAGACGCAGGAACTCAATAAATGTTAATTTATGAATGAATGCAGGCATGAATGGCACATCCAGAGGAAGACTGGCTTACCAATACAGGAAGCATACCTGTCCCCAGAGACAAAAGAGACTGAGCAGAATAGTACAGTTGCGGCCAGGCTAATGGGTTGGTTTGTCTTAGGAAATCGATGTTACCTGTTTCATCCATAAAACAAGTGTCATCCATGCAATGGAAAGGAGGTGGTGGGCTCAGGGGTAGAAGGGGAGTGAAGAAGATTTACTTAAAACAGAGGACTAGGGCTGACTAGGAAAGGAGGCAGGGCCAGGGAATATCGTCACTGAGACTGATGGCCATAGACTACCGTCAATAGGGCCAGCTGAAATTCCACAAGGCTGTCGAACAGCCTGTGTACAAGGGAGGAAGACGTATAAAGGTTCATTTAGGGTTGAGAAAAGCCTTGTGTGTGTATGTGGGGGAAGGTGTTGCTAAATGGATGATAGGGTAGAAGGTCTGAGGATAAGACTTTATGAGGTATGTCATTAAGCAAGAGCAGAATCCAAGGTGGGAAGGGAAGTGGGCGAAGAAAGGGGAGTGAAGGGCCGTGGTCAGTGGACCCAAAGTTCTGATGAGGACAAGATTTTGGAGGACAAGATCTTCAGTAGAGGTGGAGTAAGAAAACTGGAGGGCAGGCCTGGATTATGATGTCAGAGATTCAAATCACTTTGGCTGTTCCTGATTTAATTGTGTACAGGGACGGACTCCACCTATGAGGCTTAGGCTTCAAAAGCCCACGTGCTCAACAGTCTTATGCGATGAGTGAATTACATTAGTAGGACAAAAAGTCATTGTGGACTCCAAAGAAACACACTGATAATTAAGGGAGGTTATGATTTTTTTTTACTCCAGCCAGATTGGTCATATGGTTTTAGAATCACACAGGTGTGGTGTGATTTGGGACAAGTACCTTCATCTGTATATGCCTCACTCTCCTTAATTGTCAAACAGGGCTAGCTAAGTGTGTATCTGAGTTTGAAGAAGATAAAAGAGATATCTTACAGAATGACATCTAGTTTTAGTACACATTCCTTTCCCTGTTGAATTCTTTCATGAAGCTTGACTCTTGCTGGAGAGGTTGTTTGCCTGTCTATCTCTCCTCTAAGGATCAGAGCTTAGGCTTGGGGGAACTAAGAAGTAGAGGAAGGAACTCTAACCTGGAGGGGCCAGTCCCCCATGTAACCTTTCTGCAAAGAGCTGGTAATGCCGGTCTAATGTGCAAGTCCAAGCTCAGTTCCCTTATTGAAGTAGTCATCTAGGAACAGAGTATCATCTAGGAACTGCATGAGAACTTCTCAAATCCCTGGGCTCCCAGGACAGGGTAGAGCTTAAAGGAATCTGAAAGCACAGCAGTCACAGCTCTGGGCCTGAAGGAGACTAGTGGCTCAGGTGACAGCTAAGCTGACAGGCCTATTAGCTAAGGCCTTTCTCCTCTCTCTACCCTCATCAACCAGTGGTACACTTACTTCCCAAAGGGTCTCTCCAGGGCAAAAGGCCGGGCTGCATAGTAGTATTGTTTGTATTCATCCATCCACACTTCAGCTGTCCTCTTGGTGTTCCTGGGGAGATAAGAAGTGTTGGGGTGGGGCGGCTGGCTGGAAGCACTGTGTCATTCCCAGTTGCAATACACACAGGAGTTGGCAGCACCATCCATGCTATGGTCACCAGGCTCGAGAAGGTAACATTATTGCTCCCAGAACACTGAGCCAGTAAGTGTACCCCATCACCAAAGGTACCCCAGGACACAGCATTTTAGAAAAATTGACAAACCTTTCTCCAAAAGGTACAAATTAGAAAAATCACACCAGAACCTGAATTTCTGTGACTCTCAAAGAAATAGAAAAGGGCCAGGAGAAGCAGGTACATCCATCTCCTGCCTGTCATTCACAGCACAAAGACAGGGCCTGTGGACCATCTTACCTCTTGCCAGCTTTGTTTATGGATTCTTGCCCCAAGGTCCTCCTCTTTCCCACAGGGGACATGCTGAGGTCCTAGCTCTCAAAGAGCAAGATCAGTGCCCACACAGGCCAAGTCAGTGTAAGGAATTAGCAATCAAGTCATCTCTTTCAGCACTTTGCCAGCAGAGATCTGCTTTGAGTCTGACCCCAAAGGCCACAGTAAAAGGAGGCAAGGAAGAAGAGGGAGAATGAGAGAGACAGAGAGAATGTCATCACCCAGTAGTCAGGGGTTCCAGGATGAGCCCCAGAGGCCAAAGAAGAGAGATCAGAAAACAATTGGGAGCCATGGTCTGGGCAGCTGGGGGCACATGTGGAATGTGCACCTGTGAGAAAGTGAGCTTGGGGCTTTAACTAGAATGGGCTTGCTCCTCCAAGTTCCAGGTCTATCTGAGAGCACAGATATTTGATGGAGGAGTGTGGCAAGTGCTTTGGCGTTGGGATCTGAAATGACAGATGAACGCACAGGCAGCTGGGTTCTTGGGACACTGGAGGCAAGCAAAGGCACCTGGCTGACCCCTGCATCTGGCCAACAAACTAGAAGCTGCTTTGCAGACATCATTTCCCCACGCCTCATTTCCCTAACCATTGAATGGCCTACCAGCGGTCTGCAGGATGCCCATTGGCCAAGGCTCAGTCTCAAGCAGGACAAACATCTGAAGCCCCAGATCCTTCCTTCTACTTCCCAGGCTGGCCCCTGTTTGATGGCCTTGTGACTCCCGCAACTGTTCCATGCCAGACATCCATGGCTTACCTTTGCAGTTGAAAAAATCTGAAAGTGAAGGTGGCTCAGTCTTTGGTACCTTGATGCATCCTACCTGATGCTTTTTCCCTTACCCACTATGCTTCTATAAGATACAGTGCTAATTTTCCAACTAAACCCATGCCTCCTCTAAGATAGCTGCAGTGTGGTATGACACACACCTACGTGTGTGTGTGTGTGTGTGTGTGTGTGTGTGTGTGTGTGTGTGTTAAAATGAGGAAGGAAGAATTCCACCAAAGGACTGTGAGACCTCCCCAAATGCAAATGGACCAAGCAACAAGAAAAAGGAAGAGGACTGGGTGGATGAGGAAAGCAATGGATGCCAAGAGACAGGATGAAGGAAACGGAGAGAAGCTAAAGAGAGGAAAAGATTGTTTAAAGGGACGGTCATGAATATTCTGACACAAGAAAAGTGAGGAAGGATGGAGAAGAGGAATATGAAGGAGAGGAAGAAGGGAAGGCAAGGGGTTGTTGAGTTCCTGTATTTATGGTATGGCGCTATCGCCCCCAAGTAGATGAGGAGATGGGGCTGAAGCCAGACTCTCAGGAAGTGCCAGTTTAGATCCTTCTGGCCCACCTGAGCAGGCACCAGACTATGTCCACCAGTCCCTGCATCTCACCAAGGACCTTTCCCTGAGTACCCCATCCAGAACTCAGGGTAAAAAGGGCTGCCTCTCCCCTGCCTGTTCAAAATACCTGCAGGATGGAGTGGACCAGCCACTTGAAACTTCCTCATGAGATCAAGGGACAAGTTTGGGGTGGGGGTCTGGGGACAGGCTCCTCAAGTCTCCAGCATACATTAGTTAAATCTTGGCTATAACACTGGTTGTCTAGGCAGAGTCCAGGGAGCAGGCATGCAACTCATGTGTCTATCTATCCAAGGCACTCAGGTCACCTTGCAGAGTATCAGAGACTGTCACAAAGCCCTGGCCGCCACTGCCTTGCTGCTGTCCACACACACACTGAGCCCAGAATATACACTTACTTTATGTATGTGTTGGCATTTCCATCTGGGAAAACATACGGGTGCTTTTTCCTGAAGACATGTCCCACCCGGCTGCAGGGGACAATCTCCAGGCTGCCTCCGCACATCCACACTCGGAAGGAGATTTCTGCAAGACATCCACATTTCTCCTTTACTTCCTAATTCTGCTGTCCTGGTGCTTTGAGGCACCAGGCCTCGGGATCTATGGGTCTAGGAACAGATCCTATAGCCAGACCGTGTGTGCTACTGACTGAGAACACATCCATAAATCAAGCCCCAACACAACAGAGGGGAGTATGTGGTCATGTAGGACCTGGGACAGCTCAGCAGACAGTAGGAGTGGGGGGCTGAGATGTTACTGGGGACAGTAAGAGAGTTGCTTTGGATCATGGAAAATTTTTGGGTGTGAACAATGGGTTACACACACCCTCTGTGACTACAGATGGTTAGAACAAAGACAGAGGGCAGAGCTAGCAAGATGGTTCAATGGGTAAAGGCACCTACTACCAAGCCTGATGACCTGAGTTCAATCCCCAGAACTCACATGGTAGCAAGAGAGAACTTTATCACTGTCATTGTTTAAAGTTGTCACTATGTGGTGATGTAACAAGGAGACTATTGAGACAGCTGTACAATTGTTTTAAAATTCTCTATACACAATGCCCCCCATTACCGACTGTACCTAATCTCCCTCTCCCATGCCATGCCTTACTGCGTACATCATTGGTATAAGGGAAAACAGCAGCATATGGTTTATGGGAATTCCTGCCTGGTCCATGCCTCTTCAGGGACGCTCAAGTGTGAGGACAAGTTTGCTCAGGAAAACCTATGCCCTAGGGTGGCTGCTCCTGTGAGGGGCCACAAGAAAGTGGGCCTGGTGTCTAGGATCAAAGAATAAACATGCAGGTACTACAAGGATTTCCCATCACGTGCCCGCAGCCTAGGACCCACTTTTCAGCCTCCACAGGTTCCCTCACCTCACCTCAGTCTCTAGCCTATCTTTCCCTTTTGTCTCCTGCTCTGTCTCCCTCACTCCAGCTGTCAGAGCAGGTGCCTAGGCTGGGCTGCTTCGCCCTGATCCTTCCCTGCTCGCACATGTCCTCTATCACCTCCCTTGTCCCCTTCTGCCTCCCCCTAAAACAAATTCACTGAGTTGTAGGCAAAATTTCCTTCACACCCAGTGTAATCCATCTTCACTACACCTGCTGTTCCACCTGCCTCTTCTGAACAGCCTGCACCCAGGAACACAGAGGAAGAAGACATAGGAAAAACTTGGCTTTGTCTACCAAGTATGTATGTAATCTATTAGATGCATCCTTGGGAAAGCAGACTTCAGTTTGCTGAGGCTTGATCTCTTTTTATATCAAACCAAGACTGTAAAAATACTCCACAGGACTGCCATCAGCATCATATAAAATAGAATTCTAAGAAGGACTGTGAACTCAGTGCCATCAGAAGCTTGGTTGCCCAGATTATGAGACACCCCTGTGAAGTCAATCTCTTAAAAGGTTGGACGCTAATGTGCGTCACCCACCTGTGTGTGCTCCTGCTTCTTAGACCATTTCCAGCTTCCTACTTCTGCCAACACTATAGGGGACACTTGAACTTATGAACTTAACACCTGAGATTTTGTGTCTCCATAAAAGTCCTAGCTGCAGAGCAAATTGGCACTTGGCTGGGGCATTCTCTGAACCTGTTTGTGAGCCTCTAAGCAAGGTGTGACTCAGCCAACTGCCTGAAACCCACATCCAAATCAGACACTACACAGAGGGACCTCAGATGTGGAATCCGATCCATTCCATGTATGACTCTCAATCTCAAGCCTCCTTCACTTGTGTGTGCGCCCGTCAACTCCTCTCCAAGCAGGTTCTGTTCCACTTCATGAAAAGGAAGCACCTCTAAGGCCCCAACACCTGAGATCATAGCCTGGCTTACTAGATATAACCTACACATGTTGCACCAGCTTTCCTCTAAATGTATGCATGTGCTCCAGTTACTGTATCTTCCTTTCGTGTATTCAAATGAGACATATGTCCCCCTCATTTGCAAAGCAAATCCATGCTCCCACAACTTCATTCCTCCACCCAAATCACTTCTCTCCCTGAACTCCCTCTGCCCAGCCTTTTGTTTCTCAATGTATCCACAGACCCCTGCCATCCACCACAGTCCTGCACGGCCCCTACCTTGGACAGTGCCATCACCTGGCCCTGGTTCTTTTCCTTCTCAATCTCCTTCTTCTGCTTCCCTCGATGATGCTGTTTTTGAATGTCTTCCTGACATTGATTGCTTCCTTGTCTGATCCCAGGGTCTACTCAGTGACTGACTGAGGACTTGCCTTTATCCCAGCATCCCAAGCTCTACTCTGGGCTGCACTGTCCACTTTTGGTGCTGGCCAACACTTCATAGAGTCACATCAGCCACCATCTAGCCCCTTACCTCTTCTACATCTCTCAGCATCCTCCCCTAGCCCACTGCAGCTTTGTCTTCTCTCCTCCTCCAAGCCCATCAGTCCTTATTTAGTCTTCATGTGTCTGTTGTGTTGGTGCAAAATATACACTATCACAATCCTGCAGACATTAGCCTTGGGAGACAATGACCCTTCCTGTATTTCTGGGCTAGGCTTTATTAGTTCTTCCTCAGGCTGTACCTTATTCATCCCCCTAACAATCCTGTTCAGTGCTTACTGACGTTGTTATTTTCAAGCACAGGTACAACAGCTCTGCTAGGACGACTGACAACAAATAAGCTGGGAACTGAAGCACTTCCCCCAACTCCAAAATCCAACTTGTTGTCTTGTCATCCCCATTCCTCAGCACTGGGCACCTGCCACTGGCCAGTGCACCTAGGGATACACAGAAACTGACTTCAAGACACTCCTACACTAAACAAGTAACAAATACATAATTGCCTGTTCCTTTTATACCATGTCAAGTCATACATCCACTAGTACCAAGCACATCAGTTCTCCTTCAGGGCCAGCTGCTCCACTCATAGGAGTCCATGGCCTAGGATAAGTTAGGTTTCTTGGTTCTGGAGTCCAGACTGTTGTAAGTGGAGTTTAGGAAGACACATGACCTGTTATGGGTCCCTGTGCTGTCCCTGGAGTCAAGAGGCCATCTGAGGGATGAAATGTGGAGTTCTCAGATTAGTGTTATGACTTATGGACATTATTCTATGTGATCCTCAAAACCCAGGATGTACAATGAGCCTGCCTTTATCTGTACTGTGACTTCAGGAGGATGAGCATCCTCTCATGCCAGCAAACCAGGCTTCTAGGTTGGCAGAGTTTTGTGGAAGGCTTTGGGAAAGTCTGCTGATCCTGAATCTCTGAAAAGGCTTGGGCAAGGGCCATGAGACCCACAGAGGCTGAGGTGTGAGGCAGCAGTGCCTCCCCCAAGTCACTCTTAGAGCCTCACCCTCCAGCTTTTTGCCCTTGTAGCACCTTCAGTGAAGGGGAAAGGAGCCATGGACTTTGCGTGAGGAGTCTGCAGGGGGGTGTCGCTGATTCAGTATCCACGTCATTTCCCTGGTGATGAATGTCATGCAGACCCAGATCTACTCTACATCCCAGGCAGGAATATGTGTAATTATTCCACTCTCACTGGGGGCACTGCTGTGGGCTCACATTCTTTGAACTTCAGATTAATATTCGAGAGCAAATTGCCCTCACGCCCTCCATTCCTGTCTCTTGCTCTCCATCTCCTTATCATCCCATCAGTTGTTTTCATTACCCTCCTAGAGCCCTCATCCTTCGTCAGGATCAACACCTACCTGATGAGCCCATGAGTGGTGGGTAGGAATTCAGGGGAGAGAGTGAGCAGCTCTTTTCCCAGGAAGCACACCACATCTATCGACCAACCCCTGGTCAAGGTCTTGATTTCATTTTGTAGGCCAATTTCTACCACAGGCAAAGGGCACAAATAGGAAAGCTGCATGCAATAGGTCCTGTTTTAATTATTTATATTTATTTATTATGTGTATGTACGTGTGTGTGTGGGTATGCATGTGCATGTCATGGTTTATATTGTGATTAAAGGATGACTTGTCAAAGTTGGTTCTTTCCTTCCAGTGGGGTCCATAGATCAAACTCAGGTCATCAGTCTAGGCAGCAAGCGCTTACCATCTAAGCTATCTTTCTGGCCCCATGGGCCCTGTTTTAAATGGAGCATATATATATATATATATATATATATATATATATATATATATGTGTGTGTGTGTGTGTGTGTGTGTAATTACATTATCTATTCTACCTCTAGTCAAGTTTAAACTTATTGTGGACATACAGGGACAGTGACAGGCAGAAAGAGGCAGACTCAATTTGGTATTGTCATTTATAAGTCCACCCATACTTGTGTCACAGGGATCTTACCTTCCAGTAGCTTTTAATTTCCCAGGGTTAAGAAGCTCTGTGCTAAGGCTGGAATGTACCCCACCCCACACACACACACAAAGTTCATGAGCTGTAAACTTAATCCCCAAAGCATAACTGTTGAGAAAGTAAGATCTTCAAGAGGCCATGGAGACTCTGTTCTCATGAATGGATTAATACTGTTGTCTAGGGAGTGGGTTAGTCATCACAGGAGTCAATTCATATAAAATGAATTTGTTCTCCATATTCCTGATGCCCACAATGTACTCTCTTGCCTCTATGTCTTGCCTGGGATGATGGAACAAGCAAACCCGTGCAAATACAAGTCCCTTGACCTTGGGGCTTCCCATTCTCAAAGACAGTAAGAAATAAATCTTTATTCTTTGTAATCACCCAGTGTAGCATTCTGCCATAGCAGCAAAAAGTAAGCTCAGACACTGCCATTTTTCTTTAATGAGTGCACAGGCTTTAACTAGAGATTGTCTTATGGGTCATAAAAGATAGCTTTGAGTCTGTGAGCAAAACTGCATTCCACCCCAGCTCTGGGACAATCAAGGGTGCATTCAGACTCCTGCTTCTGGACAAGTACTAACCACAGGTACACCATGATCACCTGTGGCCATGTGACTACAGATGCCAGGGGAAAATGAACAACCAATGTCTCCTTTGACACAGACCTAGGACATTCAGAAGCAGCAGGAAAGAGTGGCCTATGGGATCACACCTGGCACTGGGCTCTGGCAGAGTAGCCAAGA